TCCATAATCTCTCATGGTTCATGTCCCACTCCGATTTCCCCTTCATTCTTCCCCTCCTGCTATTTTTTTTTTCCTAACATATATTTAATTCAGAGGTACAGATCTGTGATTCAAAAGTCTTGCACAATTCACAGCACTCATCATAACACATACCCTCCCCAATGTCTATCACCTAGCCACCTCATCCCTCCCACCCCACCCCCCACCCCAGCAACCCTCAGGTTGTTTCCTGAGAGTAAGAATTCCTCATCTCAGTGAGGTCATATGATACATGTCTTTCTCTGATTGACTTATTTCACTCAGCATAATACCCTCCAATTCCATCCGGGTCATTGCAAATGGCAAGATCTCATTCCTTTTGATGGCTGCATAATATTCCATTGCATATATATACCACCTCTTCTTTATCCATTCATCTGTCGATGGACATCTTGGCTCTTTCCACAGTTTGGCTATTGTGGACACTGCTGCTATAAACATCGGGGTGCACGTACCCCTTCAGATCCCTACATTTGTATCTTTGGGGTAAATACCCAGTAGTGCAATGGCTGGACCATATGGTAGCTCTATTTTCAACTTTTTGAGGAACCTCCATACTGTTTTCCAGAGTGGCTGTACCAGCTTGCATTCCCACCAACAGTATAGGAGGGTTCCCCTTTCTCCGCATCCCCGCCAACATCTGTCATTTCCTGACTTGTTAATTTTAGCCTTTCTGACTGGTGTGAGGTGGTATCTCATTGAGGTTTTGATTTGGATTTCCCTGATGCCAAGCGATGTTGAGCACTTTTTCATGTGTCTGTTGGCCATTTGGATGTCTTCTTTGGAAAAATGTCTGTTCGTGTCTTCTGCCCATTTCTTGATTGGATTCTTTGTTCTTTGGGTGTTGAGTTTGATAAGTTCTTTATAGATTTTGGATACTAGCCTTTTATCTGATATGTCATTTGCAAATATCATCTCCCATTCTGTCGGTTGTCCTTTGGTATTGTTGACTGTTTCTTTTGCTGTGCAAAAGCTTTTTATCTTGATGAAGTCCCAATAGTTCATTTTTGCCCCATCAAAAAGGAGAATTACAGACCAATATCCCTGATGAACATGGATGCAAAAATTCTCACCAAAATACTAGCCAATAGGATCCAACAGTACATTAAAAGGATTATTCACCACGACCAAGTGAGATTTATCCCTGGGCTGCAAGGTTGGTTCAACATCCGCAAATCAATCAACGTGATACAATACATTAACAAAAGAGAGAACAAGAATCATATGATCCTCTCAATAGATGCAGAAAAAGCATTTGACAAAGTACAGCATCCTTTCTTGATCAAAACTCTTCAGAGTATAGGGATAGAGGGGACATACCTCAATATCATAAAAGCCATCTATGAAAAACCTACAACAAATATCATTCTCCATGGGGAAAAACTGAGAGCTTTCCCCCTAAGGTCAGGAATGCAGCAGGGATGTCCACTATCACCACTGCTATTCAACATAGTATTAGAAGTCCTAGCCGCAGCAATCAGACAACAAAAAGAAATAAAAGGCATCCGAATTGGCAAAGAAGAAGTCAAACTCTCATTCTTTGCAGATGATATGATACTTTATGTGGAAAACCAAAGGACTCCACCCCAAAGCTGCTAGAACTCACACAAGAATTCAGTAAAGTGGCAGAGATATAAAATCAATGCACAGATCAGTGGCATTCCTATACACCAACAAGACAGAAGAAAGAGAAATTAAGGAGTCAATCCCATTTACAATTGCACCCAAAACCATAAGATACCTAGGAATAAATCTAACCAAAGAGGCAAAGAATCTGTATGCAGAAAACTATAGAATACTCATGAAAGAAATTGAGGAAGACACAAAGAAATGGAAAAACCTTCCTTGCTCATGGATTGGAAGAACAAATATTGTGAAGATGTCAATGCTACCTAGAGCAATCTACACATTTAATGCAATCCCTATCAAAATACCATCCACTTTTTTCAAAGAAATGGAACAAATCATCCTAAAATTTGTATGGAACCAGAAAAGACCCCAAACAGCCAGAGGAATGTTGAAAAAGAAGAGCAAAGCTGGCGGCATCACAATTCCGGACTTCAAGCTCTATTACAAAGCTGTCATCATCAAGACAGTATGGTACTGGCACAAAAACAGACACATAGATCAATGGAACAGAATAGAGAGCCCAGAAGTGGCCCCTCAACTCTATGGTCAACTAATCTTTGACAAAGCAGGAAAGAATGTCCATTGAAAAAAAGACAGTCTCTTCAACAAATGGTGTTGGGAAAATTGGACAGCCACATGCAGAAGAATGAAACTGGACCATTTCCTTACACCACACACAAAAATAGACTCCAGGGGCGCCTGGGTGGCTCAGATGGTTAAGCATCTGCCTTCCGTTCAGGTCATGATCCCAGGACCTGGGATCAAGTCCCTCATCGGGCTCCCTGCTCAGCGGGGAGCCTGCTTCTCCCTCTGCCTCTCTCTCTCTGTCTCTTATGAATAAATAAATAAATAAAATCTTTAAAAAAAAATAGACTCCAAATGGTTGAAAGACCTAAATGTGAGACAGGAGTCCATCAAAATCCTAAAGGAGAACACAGACAGCAACCTCTTCGACCTCAGCCACAGCAAATTCTTCCTAGAAACATCGCCAAAGGCAAGGGAAGCAAGGGCAAAAATGAACTATTGGGACTTCATCAAGATAAAAAGCTTTTGCACAGCAAAAGAAACAGTCAAAAAAAACAAAAGACAACTGACAGAATGGGAGACGATATTTGCAAATGACATATCAGATAAAAGGCTAGTATCCAAAATCTATAAAGAACTTATCAAACTCAACACCCAAAGAACAAAGAATCCAATCAAGAAATGGGCAGAAGACACGAACAGACATTTTTCCAAAGAAGACATCCAAATGGCCAACAGACACATGAAAAAGTGCTCAACATCACTTGGCATCAGGGAAATCCAAATCAAAACCTCAATGAGATACCACCTCACACCAGTCAGAAAGGCTAAAATTAACAAGTCAGGAAATGACAGATGTTGGTGGGGATGTGGAGAAAGGGGACCCTCCTATACTGTTGGTGGGAATGCAAGCTGGTGCAGCCACTCTGGAAAACAGTATGGAGGTTCCTCAAAAAGTTGAAAATAGAGCTACCCTACAACCCAGCAATTGCACTACTGGGTATTTATCCCAAAGATACAAATGTAGGGATCCGAAGGGGTACGTGCACCCCGATGTTTATAGCAGCAGTGTCCACAATAGCCAAACTGTGGAAAGAGCCAAGATGTCCATTGACAGATGAATGGATAAAGAAGAGGTGGTATATATATACAATGGAATATTATGCAGCCATCAAAAGGAATGAGATCTTGCCATTTGCAATGACGTGGATGGAACTGGAGGGTATTATGCTGAGCGAAGTAAGTCAATCAGAGAAAGACAGGTATCATATGATCTCACTGATATGAGGAATTCTTAATCACAGGAAACAAACTGAGGATTGCTGGAGTGGTGGGGGGTGGGAGGCATGGGGTGGCTGGGTGATAGACATTGGGGAGGGTATGTGCTCTGGTAAGCGCTGCGAATTGTGTAAGACTGTTGAATCACAGACCTCTACCTCTGAAACAAATAATACATTATATGTTAAAAAAAAAAAAAAAGATTGTAGGAAGGGAAAAATGAAGGGGAGGAAATTGGAGGGGGAGACGAACAATGAGAGACGATGGACTCAGAAACAAACTGAGGGTTCTAGAGGGGAGGGGGTTCGGGGGATGGGTTAGCCTGGTGATGGGTATTAAAGAGGGCACGTATTGAATGGAGCACTGGGTGTTATACACAAAGAATGAATCATGGAACACTACATCAAAAACTAATGTAATGTATGGCAATTAACGTAACATAATAAAACAAAAATAAAAATAAAATAAAGAAAAATAAAAAAAAATCTCAGGGTCCTTAGATCCACTGGTCTTGTTGAACAACATAGTCCTTCATCTTCATCATTTAGACAATATCCAAGATACACAAAGATTTCCAGCCCCTTGATTTAGACTTCTTAATTGTTAGTGCCAATAACTGAGATTGTAAACAAAAGGAAGTTATCCAAAATAAAAAGAAGTTTTATTTATGAAAAATAAGTTAGTCATTTCTATATCAAGCCAAAAAGAGGTCAATGGACAGGAAGATCTTGGCCGTCCCAGTAGGTTTGTCTAAACCAGCACACACACAAGCAGAAACATGAAGATCAGATATAGTTCTGGGCAGGGTAAGTAATCTAGGAACATGTGAGCGTAGTATGCAAGGATCTGGATGTTGTCAAGTCTAAGAAAGCCAGGCCAGAGCAGAAATGTAAATTCCAGGAGACCAGGGACATAATCTGTTTCGTTCATCTGCGTACGGTCATATGCCAAAAATAGTGCCTAACTCGTAGAAATGAAGATTTGTTAGATAGATAACTAATCCATCAACTAAATAGAATTCATGCAGCCATTAAAGTGTTGCTATAGATATAAAGGTATTGATATACCAGAAAGTGAAAAGTCAAATTGGGAATGACACTTGGAGTGTCATTCCATTTTTGTTCAGGTATGTATATGTGTAGATATACAAATATCTGGAAAGATATACTAAAATGTCCATGTTGGTTATAATTATCTCTGTACAGTGGGGTTAGGGATAATTTTAACTTCTTTCTTTATTTATTCATATTTGCAGCTTTGTTGATGAACATTGGTCACATCCATTATAAAAAGGTTTTTTTTATACTATGTGTATGATATGTGTAAGTGTATAATGGTGTTACTGTAAAGATCATTATCCTGGACCTCAGAATATAAGCCTCTTGCTTAATTTCAGAGCTCCTAAGGAAGGCCCAGGAGTTTCAGGCTGCAAAATGCTGAAGGAGTGAGAAGCTCCTCCTATTTCTCACGGCCTCCTCCAATATTTAAAGCACTTCTGACTGCTTCCCAGCCCACACCCAACAGAGAAAACCATTGTGTCAAAGGGACAGCACCAAAAGGCAAAAGGAAGGTGAGGATAATAGCTGGGGGTAGTAGCTGAAAAGGAAATGCTCAGCACGCCAAAGAATGTAGAGAGATTTGGCTCATATGGCACTACGTTATTAAATGGTTTGGCATTGTTAAATGAGTTGGTTTTAAATGCTAAACCAAGACATCATAAACAAAGTCTGCAGCCAAGTCCGTGAAACAATTTGGCCTCTTCCAAGGAAAGGGATGAGGAGTCTGTGACTTGACTAGTGAAGTGTTTTATTAAGTTCCTGCTTATTATTATATTGCCACTGCTACGGTGTTTCCAGCTGATTACTGACCACACTGTGAGAGCTTTCTTACCTCTTGTCCCAGTGAAGCAGTACTGATTGATCAACTTCTTGACAGAAGACCATGGCAAAGAAGGTGGCAGTGATTGGAGCCGGGGCCAGTGGCCTGGTCTCTCTGAAGTGCTGTGTGGATGAGGGGCTGGAGCCCACTTGCTTTGAGCGAACTGAAGATATTGGAGGGCTGTGGAGGTTCAAAGTAAGTAAGATCTTCATGTTTCTTGAGCAGATTGTGCCTACAGATGGGCCTTATTGGGGATTTTCTAAGCAACTTTGATCAGACTTATCTCATGCAGCTACACAGGAACTAAAGAAATAGGCTGTCATCTCTCCCAGATCATTACTATCCTACCCCAGGTGGCCAACCCAGGCATGCAAAGGACCTTTCCTTATGGATCCTGCAATTTCCAGCCCACATTCTTGTGATTCTCAAAGCCACATACTAATATTGGAGAGCATATTACAAAACAGAAGTGACAGAAATTCTTTTCAAGATGTCACTTCCATTCCAATCACTGAGCAGCTGCTTTTTCAGAGAGTGTGCTCTTACTACTACTGACTATTTTTCTCTGACAAATAAACCATGTTTGTTTGCTTAGCTTTACTGATGACACTCTAGGGTAACTGCTGGGAAACTCTTTAAAGATATTATTGGGGTGCCAGGGTAGTGCAGTAGGTTAAGCGTCCAACTCTGTTTCAGCTCAGGTTGTGATCTCAGGGTCCTAAGATCGAGCCCAATATCTGGCTCCATGCTCAGCGTGGGGTCTGTTTGAGATTCTCTCTCCCTTTGCCCCTCCTACTTATGCTCTCTCTCTTTCTCTCAGATAAATAAATAAATCATTAAGAAAAATAAAATAAAATAAAAAGATATTATTAAATATATTCATTCATTTCATTCTATTAGCCAAATCTAAATATTGATAATGCTATCCATTCAACAGTTTTTACATAAAAATTAGAAAGATATATAGATAGACAGCTGTATGGATTCATAATTATTCTTTCCCACAGTCTTTTGAGTTTAAGTACTAGCTTGCCACCTCCTCAGTGCAAGATCTTGGGCAAACTTATTTACATCTCTATGTCTTAGTTTTCTAAGTGTAACCGGGATAATAATAGAATAGTGTAATTATTTCACAGTGCTGTTTTGAAGATTAAGGGAGATAATTCATGTAAAAAACTTAGAGTGCAATAAATGTTAGCTACAATAATTATATTTATATTTTATAGATAAGCAAACAGAAACTGAGGGAAGTTAAATAACTTGATCATGGTCACACAGCTAGAGGAATTGGCATTCAAACCCAGGTCTCTATGACTTCTAAACAGCTAACCCCCTACTTATAACCATGCCCAACTTGCATTTTTGCTCAGAAAGTTTATACAGAAGTTCCAGCTCAGAACTCCAGAGCAATAACTTTAGGATTGTGTATCAGGTACATCTAAGTGAGGGATAGAACAGGTGAGAACACTCTAGACAAAAGCAAAAGGTTTGAATATGCTAAAAGCAGATTCTGACATCAGCAGAGACCATCCAAAGAGCTCTGCCTATAAGCCGAATAAAAATCTATTCATTCAACTATACAAACACAATCAGAGCTAATGATGGAGATGTTGATCCTTATATAGGACAGGTAACTTGCAGAGAGGAAACTGGAAAAACAGCTTGAATTACATTCATTGCTTACTAACAGCTGATCATTAGAAACATTATAGCTTTTCCTGAGAGGGTGATATAATAAGGTGGTCATTCCTGTCTTAACCAAAGATGTATTTTTTGTTGTTGTTCAACTCTAGGTTCACAAAGAGACTCCACTGAGGTTTTTTTCCCCGCAGGTAGATTTTTTAACCTAAGGAAGAAATGTGAAGTTATAACAAATTAGTATTTAATAATAAATTTTTACTCTTTTATTACCTGATCTGGGACTTAATATCAAAAAGGCTAATGTCCCTTACTTGATTATCATCAATTTGGCAACAGAAGAGGTGAGAGTTATTTTGAATGATCTGGCAAAATATGATTTGATGAATTCCAGGAGGATTTCTTTCTGCCCCAAAATATTTTTCCTACACAGTTCCCAGTGTCTAATATTTCAGAATTAGAGATATCTTCCTATGGGTTAGAAAAGTTAGATTACAATTTGAATTAATTAAATCTTATTAGATATAAAATGCTAAGTATATAATTTCCTGAAACCTGTAACAATATCACATTTCAAACCTCTCAAAACTATGTCCAATAAAGAAACATAAACAATTTTCTCAACTCAAACAAGACAAATAATCTCCCGCAATGTGAAACATACAGGATGCAAAATTTCACAGGTGGCCACTGGAGCCATGTGAAGGTCTTGATTACCAACAGACTGGGCTGCCCAAGGGAAGAGGTACTGAAAAGGATGCTGGAGCCACCATGCACACTCCCCCAGGAAGCTTTGCCTCTTCAGTACTCTACCATCCAGAATCAATTTTGGAAATAGGTTATTCTTTAATTTCTATATTTACACACAATCCTTCTAAGGTCACTTAATATATTTAGTGCTGACAAGTTAAAACAAAATTTAAGAATCCTTGCCCCATGCCCAGCTCAGAGTGCTGAATTCTTCCGAAAGGTTCTCCAGCAGCCCCTAGTGGCAACTTTGGAACATGGGCAGGGTGGGTAATTAACATATTTTTAGCATTTTTCCAGCAATGGAAAAGTACTTGCCATGCATCCTCTTATTTTTTCTTCACAATACTCCTAAAAAGTAGTGTTGGGGAAGCAAGAACTCCTGCCCCCTCAAAAGTCCTTCCAGCTGGACTGAGTCAGATTGTCGTAAGACAGATTAACAGGAGAAAATCAAATTTAACAGGTGTAGCACAGGGAATCCACATAGACGTGAATTCCAAAGACAGGCAAAATGAGGTGTGTATGTCATTCCGAACTAAGGAGAAGGGGGTGTGGTTCTGGGACTTCAGAGGAAAGGAATACATTTCACAGGGCCATAAGAAGAATAGATGCTTGGTAATTAGATACTTGCCCTACCATTCAGATGGGTCACTCAGATAAAATTTATCTCTGTTAATAACCCTTACTCTGGGAAATACCCACAATTTAGATTCTTCTGTGTGGTTAAGGGAGTACAAAAGTTTCTCTTGAGCCCATCAGATCTCAAGTACTTCCAGCTCAAAATAATCCTCATACCAAAGTGCATGTTTGGGGCGGGGGGCTGTCCTAAACCCCTTCAGTAGGTATTATGATTATCCTCAAGGACATGTGAAAAGGAAGCTGAGATTTGGAATGAACAACTTGTCCAGGGGAACATAGGTGGTGGAAAAAGCACAAAAATGAAGGTCTGTAAGATACCTGAACCCGCATAGTTGATCATCTTACTGAGGTGTTAAGAGAGGAAAGCACTATCTTCCTTTAGCCACTAATCTTCTCTGCCTCTTTCATTGTTCCTGATACCTGCGTTCACAGGAAAGTTACCAATATACATTGGTTTTTTGCTTGTTTGTTTTTTACATTTGGATATAAATATATCTTTTCCTAGCTATGTATACTCAATTATTTTAATTAATCTTCATATAATAGTCTCTAAATATCTCTCCATCTTGGTTTCCTTCCTCTAGATTCAATCTGAAATTTTACTTTCTCTCTTAAAATGTGACTCCCACAAGATCCAATATTCCAAACCAATTTATTTTTATAAAATATATATTTTTCAGAACTAAAGAGGTGCTTGGCATTGCTTTAGACAATGGAGAATGAATTGGACACAATCACGGCCCTCAAAGAATTTATAATCAACTGCTCTAACAATTGCCCTCTATGACTGACGCTTCACTTGGCCTGAATGGTCTGGCTCCTACTAAAACAAATTTAATGTTGCATTAGCTTTTTCTGCATTTGCAAAATTAAAGCTATCATTCATATTATTTTCACATGAATTATATCATTTTATACTCACAATACTCTTTTACATTATTTATTATTAATTTCAACTTAAATATAAGAAAACCAAGGGTAAATGGCTTACCCATAGTGACTAATAAATGGTTGATAGGTCTTAGAAGTAGCCACAATAGTGAAATTAAATATACATAAGTTCTCCATCATGCTTTGTCTCACATAACTCTAATCATTTATATTGAGTTTGAGATCAATTAAAAGTTCTAGATCTTGGGATGCCTGGGTGGCTCAGTTGGTTAAGTATCTGCTTTCGGCTTGGGTCATGATCCCATGGTCCTGGGATTGAGTCCCACATCGGGTTCCTTGCTCAAAAAAAAGCCTCCTGCTGCTTCCCCTGCTTGTGCTTTCTCTCTCGCTCTCTCTCTTTCTCTGACAAATAAATAAAATCTTTTTTTAAAAAAAGTTCTGGGTCTTTTTTATTTGAACCATTGATGACCCGGGTCACTATTATTCTATCCTTATGAAACTGAATTTTTAATCCAGTTTATAGGAAATCACATTTGTGAATGTTAAACAGTATTTTGTTGGTTTTATCCTTGGTCAAGAAATGTTTATTTGAAATTTCAATTCTGTCTATTCTATTTCAATTCTTTCAATTCTATGCTTTGGGTACACACAAATTTGATCATCTGTACTTGTGTCCATCAAAACTATTGACTTAAATGTTGAAAATAGGAAGATAAAAATGTGAAACAGACACCTGGGGTAGCACCAAATGGAACTTCCCACATGATACCATCTCTGCACTGACCTGAACATGCACTCCTGTTTATCTTTCCTATGGCTCACAGTCTCTCTTTTGTTTCAAACAGCTTGTTCTTTTTTCTTTTTTTAAGATTTTATTTATTTGTCCAATAGAGAGAGAGAGCGTGCACACAAGAAGAAGGAGTGGCAGGCAGAGAGAAAAGCAGGCTCCCCGTTGAGCAGGAAGCCTGATGTGGGGCCCATCCCAGGACCTGGGATCATGACCTGAGCTGAAGGCAGATGCTTAACTGACTGAGAACACCCACAAACAGCTTGTTCTTTTTAACAGCACATTCTGTTCACTTGAAGTTTAGCATTATACAGGACCAGTGTAGGCACAGAAAAGTTTCCCCTTCTTCCCTTCTAGGTTCTTTGTCTGGTCTAGTAATCAAACTGATATAAGAAAGAGTAACAGGAGGAAAAAGAACAAACATTTAATAACATGTCTATCTCCTCTGTACATGGGAGAGACCCAGGAAAACTGAGCAACTCCCTGAAGTGGC